CTGATTCACTTCGTCACCGCTCCATACTGCTTCATGTGCCAACATTTGTAGTTCCAGGATATCATTATACCCATCCTCGGCCCAATCAGTTACATTTTGACTGGGTTGAGTGGTATTTAATATCCTCCCGAAAATTAGTACGTCAAATTCCGGGAGGACCTGGGGCCGTACTATAATGTTTAGCACACTTGGGGAGATGGGTGACAAAGATCGGTGCCATTCATTTATTTCAGATTTTCGTCGCAATGAAGGTGAAAATACCACGCCGCCTACAACATCCAGCGCCAATATATCTGGTGAAGACTGTATTGATGAAAACGAACGAAGCCATTCGTCCATCTGTGTTTGTCGCAGCGGTGAAGGCGAAAATTCCATATTTTCTATAAGATTCAACGCGTATACCCCCGGTGTTGTAGGCGTTGCAGGTTGTCTAACTTGTGATAATGAACTATGCAACTGTTGTTCGGTAAAGAAACCGCTATCTTGAGTCTAAATTAAAAATTATTGTTTATTTTATATTATATTATATTATATTGAGTCTAAGACATAATTTTTATTTAACACTTACCATATCTGAATATCTGAAGGGGTGACGCTGCGGGGGTGGGCTAACGGGTAATAGTTGCGGGCTAAACCACCATGGTGTTTGCGCACCTTGTAGACTCCACGGTCTTTGCGCATCTTGTAGACTATCATCTAACGCTGGAGCAATGGGCATTTGGGTGACGGGCCTTGATGGCGGTCTATTAACCCGCTAAAACCAGATTATACACATTTTATAAATAATTTAATTTAAATATAATAATATTAAAAAATATATACTTACTAATACAAATGTCCTCTCTGGCGAAATATAAAAAAAAAGGTGGAGTATCTTCTGGAGGAGTCGCTGTAAGAACTCTGTTGTAGCTATCCCCGTTAAACCACGGCAAACTAGACGACGAATCATTAGACATCTAAAAATCGATTTATACGTAAGTCTTGAATAATGTGAAAATAAAAAAAATACTTACGTTTCCCAGGTGATAATCACGAACAAAATAATAAATATTGGTGGTAAATAAAAATCGTATTAATGTTTATTAAAATAATAGATATTGATGGTAAATAAAAGACGTGTTTATATTTATAAGACTAAGAGTATACTGAGCTGACGAAAGGCACGAAAAGTATAACACGAAAAAATTCATAAAGTGAAGGTATGAGGTACGACCAATCACAACTAACTATACCCCCGCCGGTGTCTATTCAGTAGACGCCGGACACTATACGTGCAGATTACAAAAAAAAAAATCGGTTTAAGGGACATCCGCTCAGACCACCTTAGACGTTGACCTATCGATATACCCCCGCCGGTGTCTATTCAGTAGACGCCGGACACTATACGTGCAGATTACAAAAAAGTGCAAAAGCGCATGCGTACTGCAAAAAGTCTTTAATATAAAGGCACTAAAGAGCCTACATCCGTTCAGTACGTATATCGTCTTAAACCGTTGTACACGTTTATTTTTCGTTTGCGAACTAACGCATTAAAATATTTTAGCGAGTTTTTATTTCACTGTTTATATTCTGTTCAACATTATTCACACCTAACTCAGTGTGTTTAATTTGTAATCGTATTTATTTTTATTGTGTTATTTACCCTTTATAATTTTAAAAATGTTTAAATGCGGGCAGTGTCCATCCACGTTTACAGCTAAACGCAGTTTGACTGCTCACCAAAAAAATCATGATGGCGTTCGTTTCCCATGCACTATCTGCGCGTCGACGTTCAGCTACAAGACGCATCTCAATAGACATTTGAAAAATTTGCATGGTATGTATATTTAATTCAATATTTATTTTATAAGGTGTTGCACGCACTCGACCACAACGAGGTGCAATTGAGGTCGACCCAAATATTGTAGTACCATACCTAGCAGCAGGTCCGTCAAATCAGGCTCAGAATAGGCTGCACGAATATTTTAATGATGGTAATGATGAAATGTTCGCGGGAGCGCTTGAAAATTACCAAGATGATACAGGTTAGTTTAATTTTATTTATTGAGGTCGAATTAAAATTTATGTTTAATTCAATATTTATTTTATAAGGTGTTGCACGCGTTCAACCACAACGAGGTGTAATCGAGATCGCTCCAAATATTATAGTACCAGATCTACCAGCAGGTCCGTCAAATCAGGCTCAGTATGTTAATAGTGTGCCGAACGATGATTTCAACGACGGAAACGAAGAAATGTACGCGGAAGTGCTTGACAATGCCAGACCACGCGATGCGCCAGGTGAGATTTTTTTGTTCTCTATTATCAGCGTAAGATTTATTTATTATTATTTTTTTTTTAGTAGATTCTTATATGACTACTGAAGGGAATAAGCGCGTACACGTAGAAAATACAACAAGCCGTATTAAATCAAAAAAGGCTCGTATGGATAAGGCTAATACATCGGGATTCGTTGAGGTTAAATCCGCACATAGTCGAAAAATCGTATGGTATTACGCTAAAAATCTGAACAATTTCGAAAATTATATTTCATTCCTCGCTAATGTAAAGCCCGAACTCGTTGAATTATTGAGAATAATTGTTAGTGTCAATCCCATTAAATTTAATTTAAAACTTGAAGCCACATATAACCAACCACATGTAGAAAACTCATCGCAAAATAGGTCATTCAAGACGGCAGCCCGAGAAATTTTTTTAGATTCTGATTTAGATTTATTAATAGAGCAGGCGTTCGCTAAATTATTACACGAGGAGGAGATTTATGCGGCAAAGGGTAGTGGATATGTGTTAGAATCCATCGACGGACTTCTATTAACAGTTTACAAGTACACCCCCATGGGAAACATTTCTAACATTGGTCTGCCTGTTATTAATTCTGATAATGCGTGAGATGACGTGAATGACAACCCGTGTTCTAGTACTACGTTAAATAATGATCAACAAAATGAAACAACAGATCAATGTGAAAATCATTCAGATATTTTTAATAGTGTAGCTGGCTCGTCATATATTAAGCTTCATAATTCTATTACAAAAAGGGGGGCGACGATCAATCCACAGAACAGAGATCAACATTGTTTTAAATGGGCCATTCTGGCTAAGCACGTTACAGGCCCAAATAAACATCGTGTCGGTGATAATTATTACCGACATGAGAATAAATATAATTTCACTGGATTATCATACCCAACACCGTGGAGTGAAGCCAAAATATTTGAAAAAAATAATCCATCAGTCTCAATAAATATTTACGGTAACAAAATATCTATGCCATCTTCACAAAATCCGATTCCTCACTTCTTTCCATTAAAAGTTGTAGACAATGAAAAAACCGACCATTTTGACTTAATTTTATACACTGAAGGTGAAAAGAGCCACTATGTCTATATATCGAATTTTTCACGATTGATCCGCTCCCAAATAACTAAACACGGACATTCGAAATATTTCTGTAAACGTTGCTTCACGTCATTCGACGATCAGTCATTAAAATACAAATTAAGCGGGCGGGCAGCACTCGAGGAACATAAATTATTTTGTGGAGCACATAAGCCGATTCTACCCAAAATGCCTGATGTTGGTGCAACACTTCAATTTGAAAACTGGCAAAATGCTCAACGACATCCGTTTACTATTTACGCCGATTTTGAAGCGTTGCTAGTAAAAACTAATGTCAAAAGGGGGGTTCATACGACTTTAATACATGACCACAAGCCCATGAGTTATTCGTTTTTAGTCAAGGTGTCCGAAGACGTACCGTTAGAACTCATAGAGCGATTTAATATACCAACCACACCGGTAGTTTTTCGCGGTAGTAGTATTCAAGAGGATGTTGCCAGACATTTTCTTGAAAATATCGTTGAGGTAGGCCATAAAATTGAGGAATTATTAAAGACCATTGTCCCTATAGTCATGAGTGATGATGATACTCGAATACATAGTGATAACAAAAATTGTAATTTTTACAAACGGAGTTTCGACACGATTGAAAAAGTTCGCGATCATTGTCACCTGACTGGTAGATTTAGGCAATCATTATGCGCCCATTGTAATTTAAAACTAAAACAACCCAAATTCGTACCATGTTTTTTTCATAATTTGTCTAATTATGATGCTCATTTCATTGTGACTGAGTTAGGGTATGACGCTAACAGTATTAGGGTTATTGCAAATAGCGAAGAGAAATTTATATCATTTTCTAAATATATAAGTAAGACGTTTACTATACGGTTTGTAGACACGTGTAGGTTTATGCCGTCACAGTTGATTAGTCTCGCGAAAAACCTCTTGACACCAGATTTTTCGAAATTCCGAGAGACTTCGAAATATTTCGATGCCGGTGATATGCCTTTTGTCACCCGCAAGGGTGTATATCCATACGAGTATACGGATGGCTGGGATAAGTTGGACGAGCCTAGTCTACCATCAAAAGAAGATTTCTATAGTACGCTTAAGGAGGATGGCGTAAATGACACGGATTATGATCATGCTATGGAGGTATGGAGAAACTTTGGGTGCCAAACGCTTGGTGACTATTCTGATTTGTACCTGAAAGTGGATGTGCTGTTGCTCGCGGACGTTTTCGAAAATTTCCGCGATCTATGCATGAAAACGTACAATTTAGATCCAGCATTTTATTATACGGCCCCAGGTTTCAGCTTCGATTCCATGTTGAAGTATACATCTATAAAATTAGGACTTCTAACCGACTATGACATGCTACTATTTATAGAAAAGGGTATGTAAATTAGAAAAAAAATTAGCTTTTAAATGTTATAAAAATAAATTATATTATAGGTATACGAGGTGGATTGGTACAGGCTAGCATGCGCTATGCTAAAGCCAATAACCCAAAGGTACCTGATTATGACGAAACGCGATAATCGTGGCTTATATATCAAGATTGTAAGTATAATTTTTCAATTTTTTTTTCAAAAAATTGCATTTATTTTTAAAACTTTACAGGTAACAACCTATACGGATGGGCGATGAGCCAGTACATGCCTACTGGCGGTTTTAAGTGGGTTGAAGCCAAGCTAGAAGGACTTAACAACTTGGATGATACCTCCCCCATAGGACGGATGTATGAGGTCGACGTAACGTACCCGGTAGATCTACATGATAAACATAATGATCTACCATTTTTACCCGAAAACGGAATACCTGCTGGCTCAAAAGTAAAAAAACTCATGGCGACTTTTGAGTCAAAGAAAAATTATGTCGTGCATTACCGCAGTCTCCAACAAGCCATTAAAAACGGGCTGATAGTGGATAAAGTATGTATTATTTTATACATCGTCGTTGACGGGAACAAACCTCCTATGTGAAAAAAGTGTAGTTTTCAGGAAACACTAAAAACTATTTTAAAAAATAACTTTATAAACTAGAATATAGGAATAATTTATTTTAACTAGTAATTTCTATAGTGAATATTTATTTGTTTTTGTTTTTCAACTGAATCTTATAAATTATTTAATAACTTTATATTAAACATAACTTTTGCACATAGGAGATTTCGGAATAAAATATTTTTTTTAAATGGCACACATAGGATGATTATTTTTCATTGAACTTTATTATTCTTCAAAAAAAAAAAAACAAAGTACTACAAAATAATAATATGATTTAATACTTATTGGTTTTATGCATTCAACAAATAAATAGAATTTATAAAATAAAAACTTAATAGATAAAAAATGATAAACTTAAATTTCATTATAGAATAAAAAATTATCATAGTACATTACATAAATAAATAATAAATAATTAAATACTTAATTTAAACATTTTAACAAAATCTATATATATAAAAATGAATGTATGTCAGTCTGTGTGTCTGTGTGTCCATGTTACCATGGTTACCAAGGTTGCCATGGTTACTAAGGTTACTAAGGTTTCATGGTTATTAAGGTTACCATGATCCATAGTTACCATGGTTACCATAGTTACCATGGTTACCATAGTTACCATGGTTACCATAGTTACCGTGGTTACCAAAGGTACCATGGTTACCATGAGTGTTGTAGCTATTATAATCAAAAAAGGTCTTTAATGGGCAACGAAGTGCATGGGATCAGATATTTTATATATATAGTCCGTGTGTGTCCAGTGGACACTGTCCACATTACCATGGCAACCTTTTATATTTTATTTTGTAACTTCCTATGGAAAGTTTTGTATATAAATGGTTGCCATTTTGATATGTAGAACATATTATTCATGTAGAGTTGTAATTTTTAATGTGAATTGATAATCATTGAGATGTTGACGATGTTGTGCTCAAATAGGGATTTTGAGATTTTATATGGACTTTTTCGTTTATAAATAGTTGCCGTGGGTTTCAAAGCTATATAATAATAATAATTATCGGTTGCCATTGGTTAATTTGGTTGTTATTTAAGAAGACCAGTTGATTTATTTGTGTACGCACCGGACGGTACAACGAAAAATATTGTATATCCAAAAGCACTTCTGTAGATGGCAAGTGTAAAACTGTGCACGAATATTGGGTAATCCATTTTAAGTTAGGTAAGGATAATAATTAATAATGAATATCGAGATTAATATAATCAATATAATTCATATAGAGTTGGTATTTTTATTGGGCAACGAAGTGCACGGGATCAGCTATAAAATTAATGTGTATAAAATATGTATCATGGGAGTTAAAACTGAGGTAGGGTGATCATAAAAATAAAATTATATGTAGATTTATATGTAGTAAAACTTTAAAAAATAATATTAATCTATATATATAAAAATGAATGTATGTCAGTGTGTGTGTATGTGTGTGTGTGGGTCCATATTACCATGGCAACCATATCTGTATATAAAAAACAGTAAGCTGATTGACTGCTATCAACGCACAGCTCAAACCATTGGACGGATCTGGCTGAAATTTGGCATACAGATAGCTATTATAATATAGACGTGCGCTAAGAAAGGATTTGCCAAAATTCGAATTTTTAAATAGGTGCTGAAACAGGGACATTGAGATTCTCGATAGAAATTGGAAATTTTATTTTTATTTATTTATAGTTGCCATTGGTTACAGTCTACATTAGAAATTAGCATTTATTTATTGGTTGCCATTGGTTATTCGGGCAGATCAGGTACAAGCTTGCATCAAATCGAATTATTGAACAATGCTTACCAGGGTGGCAGAGTTGCACTTACCGCAGAAAATTACACCCAAAAGGAGTTCAACAATCATAATTTTTTTAAGAGTTGCGATTTTTTACGAGCAACCAAATTTATTATATTAATCCACAGTATTACTTCAAAATAAACTTGGTATAACTTTGATACTTTAGAGTTAAATCATACACTTCCGTACAAACAGCACGGGGTCCGCGATCTACCGCAGGTAGATTGCCTACCTGATAATGTACTGCCGCGATTCAGAATTTTTATTCAGGGCAACGGGAAGGATAAGATAAATTTTGAACACCATACACGTTAATGAATTGAACAAAGTTTGAGTAGGTAGTATTGAGTTGATCCATTTAACGGGCGACGAAGTGCACGGGATCAGCTAGTATATAATAAAAATAAACCTTAATAGAATCACAGTATAATACACATTACACAGTCTTTATGTTCTTTAACTAGTTTAAATATTTCAATAAAATATAATATAGTAAAAATATACTTAAATAATAACACAGTACCTACATTGTACATTACACTGTCTTTGTGTTTCCTTAATTTATTATGCATGTATTATAGTAAATCAGTAGTAAAATATTTAAAAATTCAAATTTAATTTTAGATTATAAAAATATGAATAATAAAACAAATTTTTAAAAGTAAAGCAGTTTATAGTATCATGGTTTTCAAAATTATAAATATTTAATATATCTGTAGTTTTTGTTAAACTAAATTGTTTTTTTCTTCTTCTGGTCATTTGTATGCGGTAAGTTGTCATAAAATGGATAGTGATCTTTTTCTATAATTGGTTTTAATGATTGTAAATCATCATACTTTCCTTTAGTTATAGGTAATGGACTATTATATAAAGGTATAAGCTCACTAGAGTTTGAGTTTGATCTAGATACACGATTACAGTTTGATATCTCAGCTAAACATTCCCAATCATTAGCATTTCCACAGTTATCTGTGAAGTCAGTCTTGAAAAATATATTCCCATTTGAACAATACAAAATTCTGCATATGTCTGTAACGACCCTGTCACCTACTTTTTTACCAGGACGTAAGGAATTCAGTGTGCATGTTTTATCATAGTTAAAAAAAAAATCAAAATTTAGTACTTTAATATTATATGGATGTTTTGGTCTGGCAAGTCTCATTCTAGCAATATAATCTGAAGGAGAATAAATTGGAGGTTTAAAAATCTTCTCTAATGTTGAGTGAACACTATCCGCCTCCATCATTGTATGCCCTTTAGTTAAATATAATTGCTCTATCATTATATTTTTTTTTTTAGTAACCATACTAAGAGCTGAAGCCAAAGTTTTATTTCGATTTTGATAATTGCAGCCATCAGATATTAAGGTTACTTCATTGACTTCAGTAGATAAATTGGATATGTAATCTATAATACAAGATGTAAATTCATTTGCTGTTACATGTCCATTGCTTTCATGCCATACATAAAGAGTAACATCATGATCATGTAATCTATAAATAGTGAAATTGTGTACTTGCAATTTTTGTTTATAGTACATTGCTGATGCATTAGTAAGTGGGCATAAAAGTACACTTTCCAAGTCCATTGTAATAACAATTTTGGTATTACTAGCCAAACTTTTTTGACGGTTTTTTTCTTCTCGAGCTAAAGTTTTCCTTTCTAAATGAGCATTATACTCATTTTCCTCAATAGTACCATTTTTGTGACCACAGCAAACATCACACTGGTCTTTCCTTGGTTTATGAATTGATATTTTTTCTGATTTTAATGTATTTAAAAATAAAGTTTTTGAAGCTGATAAAAACCCCTGTTCAATAATCCAAGCACTGTATACTCTAAACATATCTGACAGTGAAAAAAAAGTTGACTCTACATATATTTTGGAGGTTGATTTCCTACAATAGTGGCTAGGAACCTTAGGCAATAATTCAATCCATTCCTTAATTTTGATTACCATCTCTTTCTTTTTAATTTTTCTAGGTGCTGTTAATAGTTCAGAATTGTTATTAGTTGTACCTTGAGAATTATTTGTTTTACTATCAGGTAACTCATCAGCTTCTGTTTCCGAATCAGTTACAAGTTCATATGATTTTGTCCAACGTTTAAAGCTGTTTTCACCCAGACAAAGTGTACTTAAAAAAAAATGTCTGCAGACTTTTCTTTTTTCTGTACCCAAAGGTAATGCAATATTTTTACTCTCCTTTTTTTTAAGTATCTTATTCTTTTTTAATTTTCTTCTTCTTACAATTTCTCTTGTCTGCACTAGACCTCTGACATAACCTTTTTTTTCGTCCCAAGTCTTAAATGACCAGAACTGTTTGAATAAACGCTTTCTGTCCTCTTCAGAAAAAAGTCCACACATAAAAGTGTTTTTTGTTTTTTGAACTTTTTCAGAATGTTTGCACCTAGGTTTTATTTCTCGACTATCAATTACACACTTTTTAGTTAGATTTCCATCAACTAATTTATAACTAATATAAGATGTTCCAGCAACTCTATTTTTTGTTTGTAGTTTTTTAGAACTACGAGAAAATTGCTTCAAATTGTCATTATTACCTTCCAATTGTACATTATTCAAAAGAATATCAGAAATATTATTTGGTTCAAATACATTACTGTCATTATTTATGACAATCTCATCAAAAGTGTCAGGAAAAGCATTTGGTTCAATAACTATATTCTCTTCATTTAAACTAACCTCTTTTAAAAAACTATTACAATCATTGGTAATGGTTCCTTCAAATACAATATCAAAATCGTTAATGTTAACACCGTTTAGATTATCTTTGTTTAAATTTACATCTGATCTAATTTGATTAATAGCATTTAAATCAATTTCAACGTTGTCATCATTTACCGTCCAGTTTTCTAAATAGCTTTCATTAGTATTTAATACTTCATTACTTACAGTAGGTTTTGTTTTGAATTTTGTTAATGGCATATAATTTTTATTAGCTAAAGCTAACAATTTATGACTTCGTTTCATGATCTAAAAAAATATTATATCAACATTTAATACGTGAAAAATTAATTAAAGTAATATATTAAAATACATTTACCTTTAGATTGTCGGTGTTTCTGTTAAGACTAAAGACATGTCACATGTTCAAGTATAAAAACTTATAATTTAACGGATTAAAAAAAGTGATAAATATTATGTGATAATACTCTCAAGTG